ATCAGCTTTTGGCCCACTGACATTGCTTTTTCCTAACTCCAAGGGATCTGCAGAATTCCAAAAGAAACTTGATTCCCAGATCGTTACCCTGACACCAACCCTAGCTACATGTCACAGCATAAACCAGACATGAATGATACAACTATTTTCCTAACTCTCACAGAACAAGAGAAAACTCAGGATTCAGGAAATAAACATGGGTGTTGACACTGTAGATGCCTAAATCCTAACCCTCATCTTTATTCAACCAACTTCTGTAATTACTATTTTTTTTTAATTAGTGATAATACCATGGTAGCAATATCTCTATTTTCTACAAGAATGAAGACAGTTAATGAATTGAAGCACTTACAGAAGGAGCAAGCAGCTGATCTGCTTTGAAATATCATACCTTTCTCCACTAAGACATGCAAGCAAACAGTAAAGCAGACTTGAAGGATGATTAGAGATCCAAGCAATTCTTTTACTAAAAAGATTGGGGCACTTTATCTTTTTGTTTTACACAGCAGTATTTCATAAGTAAGCTGTGTACTTCAAAGCAAGTTGTGTATTTCATAAAACACACCCCCTTTACCTGCACAGATACATCGCCATGGCTGTCCACTACTTCTTTTGTCACAGTACAAATAATGAAATAGGGCCAACTCCTCACACCTTTCTTAGCTGATAAGGCTACGTTCAGACTGCAGACAAAATACTGCAACATGTCCATTATTCCACAGTACCTAAATATGCATGTTCTGCTAACCAGCAACTTCAGTATTTCTGTAACAAATTCTTCTTCTTTTTGGTTTCTATATTGCCAGCAAGGAACCTTCAAAGGCTGATGAAAAAGTCTCAGTAGAATATAAAATCATAGGGTGCCTGTTTCACTGATTTTGACTTACATGAGGCAGAGTTAATCCCAAGACTACACAACAAGAACCGTAGCTATTCCACCGGTCTCTTTTTTTAATGTAGTATCACTTCTACCTGTAATCAAGGATTTCTTTAGCCAACTTTAGCATCTATTGCTGCTATGGCCCCTTCTTCTCAGGGATCTCTGCACCCGGTTAGAACACGGCATCGCTGAGGGCTATTCCACACAGTCTATGGAAGAGGCTCCTTGCACACAGCTGTGATTTTGGCTTTGTTCTTAACTATTTTGGAAGGTAACCATGAAACAAACAAATGAACAAACAAAAAATCAGGGAGGAAGACCACATGGAGAATACATCAACATGTACTACAGCAGAGCAGCTGTCTCTGTCAACTAACCAGTCTAAGAAATATTTTAACTAGTGACTTCAAGTTTATCAGCTTCTTTCACTTGGAGACATGCATTGTCTTCATTAATTACTTCCACTATTACACCTTTTCCCCTCCACCTTTTTAAAGTAGGAAATGTAAACAAGGTCCTTACCACCCCATAGGCAACAGTATCTGAATACATTCTCATTTCTGGATACACGCTGACAAGATACCACCTAAAGGTCTTGCACTGGAGCTTTTTCCTCAAGGCTTTCCTCTCAGAAATATCACCAATATCGATTCCAGAGTCCTGCATATAAAACAAAGGGCAGAAAAGACATCACTGATACACTACTGTGTGAACTATTCATCCAGAGACTCCCTCACTGCAAAGACAATTATGACCTATGAAAATGATCAGCTTTAGGTTGCAGAGTGAGTCTGTTACCCATACACACTCCATAAGCGCCCCAATTAAATATAGTAGAGGTCACCACGGCAGGGTCTCTTTCAAAGTCTGCTTTGGTCAATGGAAACGCTCCTGATGGCTTCAGTGGGGTTTAGATCTACCTTCCAATGAATATCATTGTTGTTCTCTAATTTCCTGGCACTTTCCAAATCCAAAAGTAGTTGGGAGGAAGTAGCAAGTTCCCTAGGAACAACCTTATTGCTATTATCCTGCTGCAGCCTAATCATTATCCATATCATTATTATCATCACTATCTGGCTATTTCAGAAGTTCAGGTTTACTGCTTCACTGCAAAGAGCAGAAGCTCTGATCACCTTTCTGAAATATCACTTATTAAATTTCTCTTGTAATATAAAAAGATAAATTGCTATTTTTGTTAAAAGCAATTGCAGAAAATTGTCTCCCCTAATTTTTATTCTCCTTTACATTTCTGGCTAACCTAATTTCTACTTATCATGAGAGCAGATCATAAAGCCCAAGTTTCATAAAGTCCCTGTATATAAAAATCAATATTTTATCACATATAAAATCACGCAGCAGAAATTTTTAGAGAGAGATCTAAGTGCAAATCCACAGCTGCTATTTGACAAGAAGTATTGTCAAATGAGACATTTTGCTCCACATGGTGCTCACCTCTCCTGCCTCAAAACAAAAAGGATACATTTTCTTAGGGAAATCCTATAATCTAAATACTTAAGCAACAACTGGGCCATGAACGTCTCACTAATTTTGTCAGCCACCAGTTATGATTTAGAAATAACATTGGAAGCACTGAATTTTCTTAGTTACAGATCAAAAAGTCTTATCTTTGTAAGTATCTAGGTTTCTGAGCTGCTGAAGTAACAACGGCTTCTTACTTCCCAAAGCACTGAATTAATGGTTATCTGGAACAAGTTTATTTTATTATGGAAGCATTTTCTAACTAAAGTAAAATTGAATCCCATGTTAGCAAAGTCTACTAAAAAGCAGGAAATTGAGGTCTGGCATAAATATGCATAACTCAAGTTAATCCTTAAAAACAATGACTCCCCTCCCCTTAAACCCTATATAATTCATAAAATGCTATGTGGAACTACCCCTTAAGTGATCATTTTTTGGTGACCTTTCTGGCAAGTGACTAGACAGAAGAATATGCTGAAGGGTGCTGTAAGGCAACCAACTGACCCCATGGACAAATCCTGCTTGTGCACAGCTCTGGCTGTACTTGCACTTGCCAGTGGATCTGCCCCTCGTGTGAAGGGAAGGAGGATGTCAGCACACAGACACTTGACTTCCAGCACTATCAAGGCTTCCTGGGATCAGGTACTAAACTGGCTCAGTGCATTCTGATTCCTTTCTCATGCACCAATACTTGTTTCTTCACAGTCTACTGTATAAGGTAAGAAAGAGCATCTGGGTCCTCAGTAATCACATCCTCCCATGCAGCTGGAGAAGGAAAACAGCTCCCATGCAGCACAATGGCTTTATCACCAGCAACAACTCAGTGTGTTCCCCAAAGTTGGGAATATGATTGGAGGAAAAAAAAAAAAGAAAAAAAAAACCAAACCCAAAACCAGGGAAGGACACACGGAGAGCATAGCTCTTCCTTCTGGGACTTGAAAAATCTTTCCTTTGGATTTAAGTGCTTTTCTGAATCTATTTATCTAAGCAGTTACGATGTAGAAATCACCATAGTATCCGAGATCTCCATTGGAAGCTCTCAGTAGCTCAGAGCCACCCACAGAGATCCCAAGAGGGCAGTTACAGCACACTGCCAAATGACTCTAACTCTTTACTATTATTAGCTCTCAAAGACTAAAATCTTTGGAAACTATCAGGCTTCTCACAGACCTGGGAATTCATCCATGGCAAAACCAGGTCCTGTGGTTAATATTTTGGAATTACATACTTCATAGAAAGTCCGAACTGTTATAACTGAATACACTTCTATTATCTACACAGTCCATTACTAGTGCACTATTTCATCAGCTTCCAGACAGAGAATGACTCCTGTAGGTATCCACTTGTGTAACAGCGTTTGGCCATGCTATCTGTCTGTCTTCTCTGCATGTCTCTCACAATGATGTCTCGACATATGTTTGTCTAAACTGAAGCCAGGTTTGATATCAAAATTGTCCCTCTCTGGTATTTCACCTTTAAGTTAATCTTGAGGTGAGGAAAGATGAAACAGAAATATTGTCATCCAGTCTGATATCTAAATTTGTCCTAATCCATCCCCAGCCTTTCTCATCCACCACCTCTTTTCCCCCAGCCTACTGTAAGTCTGTATTACAAGTGCCCCACAAGCTTTAAGCTATTTTTTAGGTTGCTTCTTTACACTGAATACTTCCTCTTTCTACAGATATTTCAATACCAACCAAAGACTGCATTGCTCCTAACCTTTTGATGGATAAAAGAGGTCTCTCACTAATGATGTAGGTTTTCTTTATACTGAGCTGATGCAATTACAGTGCTTGGGAGTGCCATTTTGTAGTGTATTTTCCTCTTTCCCTTAAAAGGCCAGAAGCTTTCCTTAAACATGTGCTCGGTTCCTACTGCTCTGGAACCAGTTCAGTACTCACGAAGTTTAGCATGGGAAAGAAGGAAGTCCCAGGTCTTCAGAGCTCTTCGCCTGACTCTTGGCCCCCCCGGCCTTGCACAATGAACACAAAAATGCTTACAATAGCTTCAACTCTCAACAACTGATTTCAGATACTTGAGGACGTGTCAAGCTGTCAGAACAAAACACTCATCTAAGTCCTTCCCTATTTTCCATACGGCGGAAGATGGAAGCTGGGCGAACTACACTTGGTTGTACCCAGCTATAAGTCACAGATCCCATCTGCCAGGAGCACCTTCTGAGGGTCACAAAGGTGCCATACTCCCTCTGAACACCCTGCAGCAATTACCAAGTAACCAGTAGACTCAGGATTTATAGCCTGCTGCAACTGTGAAAACTAAGCTGTTTCCCAGTATGTTTTAAAGAAATATGCGGGCATATGTGTATTTCTTTGGTTTTCTACAGTGGTGAGAAATACAAATGAAGGTTCCTTGTGCTACAGGCTCCGTACATACACAGAGTAATAGATTTCTCCCTCCAACAGAGGCATCTCATTACACTGCAGAGGAAGCTACCACTATTAAAAGCTGATGTAGCACTTGCCATTTCCAGCTTTTAAGTCTGCACTACAGTTTGACAGTAGTAGCCTTTGTGAAGATGAAGAGAGAATATAATCTGCATTGTAATTTATTCAAGCAGTTCAGTGCAATGATTAGTACATTTGTGGTGGGAAAATGACTGGAGACTGAAGTAGTAAGAAAACTTGTTATTCTTCTTCAAAACTATGAACAAAATCAGTTTTGGCAGTACAAGACCTACAGTGCAGATACCTAGATGCATTTTGTGACCTGAAGAAATCAGTTCAAGTTACACACTGCATTTATTTGTCCTTTGTTTAATAAAATATTTTTGTTTCCTTTGTTTAATAAATTAGTTTCAAAATTTATTATAACAGGCTTATTTTTTCTGATCTGTTGGCACAGTCTAGACTGCCCTATTATTATTTGTTACATTTCCATTTAATAAGTAATAACAACAACTTTGCATTCTTTATGAATTCAATTTTCAAATTACATTCAAATCTCAACCTTGCACAAGATTAAGCACCACCACCATCATCACATCTGGAGGAATATTATGCAAATACGCGTATAATACTGCATATCCTGGTTAACAAAAGACATTTCTAAGTTTTGTGTTAATGCTATGTTTGCAAGTCAAAAAACTGAAACTTGATTAATCTGTGAAGATCAACAAATCTTCTGGAAAAGAACTAAAAATACAAAATAGAAACCAAAAGTTAAATCTATCAGGTTAATCAGAAATAAAATTAATCTGAAATTGCTTTCATGTAAAATAAGTAACCCTGTCTTCCAGAAATGTCTTTATTCTTGTATGCACTGCTCTGTGACTACGCAGAACAGGGACATTTGAAGGGTAGCCTGGATTGTGTGAACATAGGACTAACTTCCAGAAAGGCCGTTTCCTTATACCAGATCATAGAGGACTTTATCCAGGTGCTTTCATGGTATATTATCTGGCTAATTCTGAAACCTGAAAATAGAACGACTTCCCCACTTTGCCAAAATTATGTCATTTTAATCAAGAAAGATAAAGGAGACTACTGAAAGCAGACAAATCAACGTCAGCATTCATATATATCTAGCTAGTTTTTTGTTTCTAACCTTTTTGCCTTATGAAACTAAAGGAGGAGAAGTACAGCATTTTATTTCTCAAACTAGAAATCACAGCAAAGCCATTTTCTCTGAGTAGTTACAAAATCACTCAGAGATTTTACAGAGACTTTACTAAAGAAAAAATAAATTTCCCAAGTTAATTTATTAAGTTTAGAATACCTGCTTTTGTTGTAATGATGAGAACGGCACACTGTAAGTCAAACCTCAAATACAATTACAGTCATGGTTTCCAACCTCTGGGTGGAAACAGCCTATTCTACACAGATCCTGAATATTTTCCAGCATAGGTACCAACACCTTTCTGTAAGCCCTATAGCTCTTAACAGTTCATAGATTAAAATACCGTTGACTAGAGAAATGAAGAACAACTAAAATCAGAGGTCAAACTGAACTCTCAGGTTACCCATCTGACATTATCTTTTCAATACAATGGACTAACCATTACTCATCTGTGGAACAGAAATCTGGACAAGCAGGCCAAAAGGGAGTTGCAGTGAGATTCTGCAGTATCTCATCATATCCACCAGCCACCCTAACTCTGATGTGAAATTACTTAAGAGTGATATACTCACACTCGATTCAATAAATGTTAACACTCCTTGCCCATTGCCAGAACTCCTCTCACAAATCTGGCAGAATTATAGCTTTCTGTGATGGTGCATAAGAGACTCAAATTCAAAATAAGATGTGGAATATAGATTTGATGCTTCTTTTTTCCACATTTCTGAAGCTACTAGATTAAAATCTCCATGAAGAGTCATCAGCAAGGATGATGAACTTGACAAGAAAATACTTTTTAAGGAACCTGAAGACAAAAAATTATTCTTGAATAAAATACAACTACATATATATTTATATATATTTCTTTTATATACATATTTTATGCCTATATATATATGACATAAATACATACATACACGTATACAAAAAACAAAACCCTAGCAGAAAAATAAAAATTCAGAATAGGAACCAAATCCAAAAGTATCTTAAGTGAAAGCTTGCAAACGCCGGTCTTTGTGACTCACCTCCTGGGGTATGTTCCATGCCATGTAGACATGGCTCTTAAATTCATCCATCCAGACTTCAGCCACCCTTAGCGCGTTTCTCCGGACATGAGCAGTTAGATCTTCTGTGTACGGTTTATGTGCTCTTTCAATGTGGGCAATCCTGGAGCAAGGCAGAACCTCAACACTTCCTCCACACTGCCATACCTAGGAGGAAAAAAGATATTCTGCTAGTGAGAGCTCCCTACACCACTGCTGTCCTTTAGTAAATACACTGAAATTATTTTATTTCTACACTTGTCATTGTTACAAAGGAGAATAACTACTAAAGATTTATTTGAAAATACAGACGGGTTTTTTAGACAGTTATGACAGGACAGAGTTATTACCTTACCTTACCACAAATTATTACTACTACTTAACCTTACTACAGAATTATTACATTACCAGTAGCCTCTCAGCACTATCTTCCTGGAACAATTTAGCTATTCTCAAGATTATTAATATAATCCAAACCAATAGTGTCTGGGTTCAAACTTTAATATTAAGATTGTGCACAGCCCATCTCAATGCAGAAACGCACTATTCAGAATCTGGAACTAGAAAGCCTTATGTAAAAGCGAAACTAAGCCAAGCAACTTCTTAAGATCACTGAAGTTTCAGGTTCTAGGAAGGTTAGGAATATAAATCCATCTTATGGTTTGCTTTAAACATTGCTCAGAAAGGATCAGGTGTATTTCTTTTGAGAAGGAGTGACAAAGATTGCCTAGTGAAAATGTTCTATGAACAACTTCAACACACACTACTCTTACAAATTATAATACATTTATAACGTAGGTTACTGTACTTGCTCAAGTGTGTTTCAGTTTTGCCCACTACTGCCGAGTTGAGCTAATGTCCACAATGTTAATCATGAGTACTGCATTCATTTCTGATTTTCTCTCTTTCTGCTTTCAAAAAAAGAGAAAACCACTTTGGCAGCCTTAACAGTCAGTGAAGCACTTTAACTGCTTTACAGAGAAGCTATTTTTCTGTGTATCTGTATTACGTAAACTTCCTAACAAGATTAAGGCAGCCCATTCATAATGGTTGAGTGGATGCTGCTCAGGTGAAAACCCAGATGTACTCAAGCTGTTTGATCCCACTGAACAAGTACCTCAGCGTCCCAGAGGCAGGTGTACTCACTGAGAAGTGACAGAGTTTGCCTTATGATACTGCTAGCAGAGATTCCTGAGGCTTGGTAGCCCACACCAGGAGAGCAAAGAATGAGAATGAGGGCACTCCTTCCTCACACAGCTCACCCAGGGGAGTGTATGCTCTCCTAGTGCCCAGGGGTGGGGGTTGGCAGAACATCACGTACTGGAGCTGATCTCAGACCCCTCAGGTCTGTCCATGCTATAGGCACATGCTTTACTAAGAAGGCACTTTGTTCAGTCCATTCATTTTATATATTTAGACATCTGGCTTGAATACAGCATTTAGGCATTTGGCAGCTCCTGAGACCAGAAAGTGTGGCATGGATTCAGAATGTTCACAAAGCCTTTTCTGAACTGGTGCCTAATTGCATTCAACATATGCTGGGAGAAGAGATAGAGCCTTGGTTTTCAGAGGTCTCTGGAAGATGAGCTATCCCATGAACCTACTGTACAGTCAAGAAGGGAGCTGAAAAGACTTCAGCATGTCTCCGTGTTCAGAACTTAGAAAACAGTAAGAGTAAATAAACATAACCATTACCAGCATCAGGGCAAAACTGAGATGATGGTAAATATTTAAAAATAAATGGGCAATTGATCTGGCACAAGAATAAATAATCTGGAAACAGCACTCGTGTCCTGTCTTTCTAAGTATCATATCAAGTGGGAAATCCAATTTAATGATCTAACAAAAATAACAGTTTGTCAAACATTTAATTCTAAGTAGTTCAGCTACCTTTCCTAATAAAGATTAAATGTGAAGTATCAGGCTTTGCTCACACAATGCCTGCTTTCAATCCAAGCCATTTCTCAGTATGGCATAGACATCCAGCTATAAATTCTTTCAGAGTTACTCACTGAACACTGTTTAAATTAGTATAATAAAAGACAAGGAAGATGTAGAGATGGTCATAATTTAGCCTAGGACAATTCACATACTGCATGCGCTGCCTCCTCTGCCTAGCCTTTGCTCATATTTCAAGTAGGGATGGCCTTCAATCCAAGCCCAACATGCAAACACTGAATCTTTCATGGGATTTTCAGAGTTAGGTCTGAATGCCATCTCGACAACAAGCTGAGCCAAAAATTCACGGTCTATAATAAGCTTAATTTCCAAGTAAATTTCTAGGATCTGAAAATGCGAAGAGCAGACTCATCTATAATTTTAGTACTGATTCAGTAATCAGTAAAATCTAATTTGACTTTATAATGAAATCATATGTGTTTTCAAAAAACATCCTGCGATGACAAAGTCTTTAATACAGTTTGTAAATAACAATTACCCACTACCTGAATAAACATCAATTAATCAAATCTGGTGGCCACTCCTTTCTCTCAGACACCGTCAGTCTTTATTCTGTTTCCAAAGACTAATTAATTACTCCGAAAGGACCACATATTCACTCAAAAACTTAATGCTACGAAGGAGCTGCCAGGACAGATGCTGACAGAACAGAGGGGTTGTATTCAACAGCTTCAAAACCAAATCCAACTATTTCTACGCAAAAATACCCTGCAGTCCATGAAAATGTGATTAGCATTGTAGCAAGGTGATCTGCCTCAGCGGGGGAAAAGACCCCGACACTTATTCCCCCCACTCCTCCCCCTCTTATGCTCCCTGGTGAAAGAAACTACCAGATATGCTAGAAGGTGCCTTGGTGTTGGAAAACACTCTGGACTGGCTAGGCCCAAATAGAGAAAAAAGAAAAGACTGATAAAAGGAGACAGTGTTTTTATGAAAATAAAAATATTTTGCTAAGCTAGAAGGCTTGCTGAGCAAGGAGGCTGGGCTTAGCAACAAATGACCAACTGTCAATCACTTCATTCTGTAAAAGCCCTGTCCCATTCTTGATCGGGCAGGATTCTTACATACTTTCTCCATAAGATGTGTTTGATCATTTTCCCCTCAAATGAGGATGGCCCTTGAATGGTTGCTCCTCTGAGGCTGAGAGAAAGGGAAGTACCCACAGTCACTGGACAGGGTAAGCAACATCAACTCCTATTTCATAATGAAGTTAGCTTTAAAATATTACTTTAGTTACTCTTCTAGGTTTAGTGAATGCTAATTAATAAGAATTTGCTATAGTACTTACATTGTCTAGTATATATTCTGATTTATGTCCTTTAGCCCAATCGTATTATTATAACTTATAATCACTTTTTAAAAATCAGTATTTTAATACTAAGAAATATATTTTCTTAAAGACTCAACTCAAAGGCAAGTTGAGGCCTTTTAGAGTGGTCTGTTCTTCATCTAATGACACTCCTGTAGACAAGAGATTGTCTTTATAGTTAAGAAATAGGAGCAGCAATTGAGGAGTCAACTCCTCACACCTTCACATGTTTTCCCTGTCAACTTCACAGGTAATTTTTTGCTGTCATTACTGATCCCTATAGAGGCTTCATCCATACTGAATAGCACCCTTCTAGTTCTCCATCACTGCTATTTTATGCGATGGCTATAGACAAATACCAAGGTGAATACATCAGTGAAACTTCTGCAAATTATCACTCATGGTTTTAGTAGGAAATCTAAAGATAAAAGAGCTTCAAAGACTTTTTTTAACCACATGGAATGATTTTAAGTAAAATGCTGTATCTCTGAGCATACTGTTGCTGCAATCAGTAATACTTAATGACAAACCTGCTCGTACTGATTGCAAGGAAGAAACTTGATGAATTTCCTAAACTACGGTTAAAAGGAAATATAACCCCTTTTCTTGTTACCCATGAAGATGACTTATCTATGGTAGCAGGAAATGGAAATTGCTAGAAATAGCCTCAATTTCCTGACAAGTCCTGAAACATACATATGCACTTGTCAAAAATAACTTATGCTTCCATCATCGTGATACAATAAATGGCAATTCACATTTCTTTCTGTAAAAGCATCAACTGCAAAACTGCACCAGCGGGTCTCAGGCTTTTCCTTAAAGAAAAGATTTTAGAAAGTTTTCAGGTATGAGGTACTGTGTAGCTTTGGGAGTACTTAGCAGGATTGCTGGAGCCTCAGCAATGCAGAAAGTTTGCTTTTCTATGGAGGAATCTCTTGAGGTACTGGTCTTGCTGCTTCACTTTGCAAAAGCAGTCTTTTAGAAAAAGAACACACCAACTGGAGCTTCCCTTCCAAAGAGCTCAGAATCCACTTCACTGTGTTTTTAATGCTTCCTTCCAAGAGTTCTTTAGAAAGGGCTCTTTATTCTCAAATTTTCTGGGGAGGTTCATGTATTTGGTAAAGCCCCAAGAAGGGCTTAGAGAGCTTCCTCCTCTTGAAAGAGTTCCTTCATCACTAGCAAAAGGTAGTAAAATTCCACTAAAAATTCAAAGTGTAACGGGACAGTAGCAGCGCCAAGGTGACTTCTAACACTTACAAAGCTGAACGACTAAAATCAGCAAAGCCTATGACCTAAAGCCAAGCAAGTGGGAGATGACAGAAACATCAAATGAATAAAGAGAATCTATTTAGGAGGGAAAAAAGAGGGTGGGAAAAATTTCTCCCTTTTAAATCTTCCATTGTTACAACTTACGTGGAAATTTTGTCCAAGCTCTACGCAACTCTTACTGTTAATTTACTGCAGGTAGATTTACACATAAGCTATAATTGTGGCCATATACCTGTCTGAATTTATGATCACCACGGTTACAGCAGCCCTGCAGAGCAAACAGAAAACATGTTCTTCGCATTGGAAGATCTAGGAAAGCAGAGGGCATGTAAAACTGCAGAGAGAACACAGGTGGTGCCACAACACATCAGCTGCAACTTCCACTCTGTTCAAGGAGTAAAGGACCAAAATACTGGGCAGTCCAGTGGGATGGCACAAGTGGGCAGCTACAGAAGCAGTAACACACCAAACGGCTTCCTTAAGCATTTTCCAAAGGCATGAGCCCTAATACTGCTATGCTATCATCCCTCACTTGTTCCCAACAAAACCAGGGCAGTAGTGACAGCTTTTGCACAGTCTTCAGTGTGCAGCAGACGGGTGACTCACACTTCCTTAGAAATGTCTACATCAA